TTCGTTTTCTGATTATTTAAAATCACCATTTTGGTATTGAATAACAACATAATGCATTAAAATCTATTGAAATTATCAATGTTTCAGTCGTTATACCCATGAGTCGTGTAAATAACCGAGCTTCATTATTTTCTTTATCTCAGGAGGATATCGCAATGCCTTCTCGAGGCACTCTGTATATAATATATGAATTTTGCCTTCGCATATAACGACACAGTATAATATTCTTGCCACCACTGCCGACACCCCTTCGCGGGGTGTAGAAAAATCGATTATATGCGGAACGAGAAACATTCCACGTGCGTTCGAAAAATCCAAGTGCACAATACGACCAGAGTTATTTCGCCTACCTAAAAACCTGTTTAGGACAAGACCGCGAATATTCACCACCCGAAATGCGTCGGTCGGCACTACAGACAGCACCCTCGGTTATAAACACGAGCGTTTTGTACACGCGGAACGATTTCTGTCTTGAAATATGTGGTACAACAGAGTGCGTTACAATAGATTATCTTCGAAAAATTATTTTTGTCCCTGCCATGAAAATGCTCTTGTAAACGTGTCGATAAAAAAAAAAAAATAAACTGATTTGTGGTTATAAACAACAATCTATCGCTTTCATTGAATACAGTGTATTTTTCGGTTCGATTATATTATACTTGCTAATTTCAATCCGTGCAACGCACATAGCAACCGAGGAACATCGCCTATATGTAGTGTACACGCTATAAGTCCTAACACGACAGTTGAATATTAATACGTATTACAATCACGTGGTGCTTTGAACGTAGGTACCTAATTATCCGTACTATTCATATTCATAAAAAAACAAATATCTTTAAGCATAATTTCACCAAGTATACCATATACAGTTTGGTTTAAGAAAATAGGATGCTAAATTTTCGACTTGTACAAAGTTGGCAAATTAACGTTTTGATGTTTTCGCTCTGATTCGAAGTGTCCACACTTTGAATGAGAATTTTCGATACGAGACTCCCTCTTGACGTAAGCTTTCGGCCACTTTATTAATATTAAGTCATCGTGATGGTTGATATATCGTTATCGTTTAAGATTCGTCGAAAAATATGAGAAATTCACATTCGTTTTAAAATTTTCGCGTAACAATAAACAACGTTCACACCTACACGACCTTAGTACAGGATCTTAGTGCACACTGGTTAATCAGTGCGATCGTATTACGAGTTCGGTATTGGATTCACACGCGTTAATCAATTAACGGTATTATAATTACCATATTCGCTTACGCATGCATGTATAACTGTGGTTTGATTATTACTGTTGTTACAATTATGTGTACTGCGAATATATTCGGCGATCGAAGACCGTGTATAACAACAATCGTTATTGACCCGCGGCCGTATTGTTGTTGTGATTGACTATAAACTTCGTACCGGCGACCGTAATGGATGTACTTTTATTACGAATAGGTCAACACGTTTCTTGTGTTTCAAACGAGCTACGCGGCAGTGCTATTGAAATTCGCGATCGACGTACATATTATTATTATTATTAGTATATTATATCACCGTGTTACTGTCGTAATATGTTATTGTTGTTGTACGCACGATCAACCTTCAAACGCAATCGCTTTCGCCCTGCGATCGGACACCGCTAGCGTTTTTCCTGAAATCATCGAGTAATATTTATTTTTACGTTCCCGGTGGGCATAAAGTGCAGATGTTTAAAGTTAACCTAAGTTATTAAGTAAATAGTTAGTGGCGTGTCGTACATGTGCGCGATGTGTGCAAATGCCACGGGCCCATGAGTAGAGGGAGGAGGCACTATTGCTTAACGTATTTAGTAAAATTTGTAATGTTATACACACAAATATCGCACAGATTAAGAAGTATAATTAACAAAAAAGTAAAAGTATTGTTCGCTTTACGATTCTAAGCCTGTTTTCACCAGTATAATTTATTATTCCCGGCATCCAATTATTTTATTATCCGTGCATGTTATTTATGTATCATTCGATTTCTGTGTTTGATTTACATTTCAATACCGATTGATACTTGATAGTTCTAAATGATTTTATTATTTTAGAATACAAATAAAAATACTTTATTTTATCGGAATCCAGTTTAATTATATTATTTTAATAGGTAGGTATTTAAATCAAGTTTAAACAAAAATAAGATAGTCAAGTACCCACAACGATAATAGTTACTATTTGGCTATTAATCTACAAACATTTTTGTTTAAAAGTATAAATTTAGTAGGTACTTTTTATTATTCTTCACATGAGACCATATTTGGGTTTAACTGGCTAGGTTAGGTTAGGTTAGCTTTTATTATCGTACGCTGTACTATATAATATTTTATATAGTATGGTTTTGTAGTGAGAAGACAGCAATGACGACGACGAAACGAGAGACGACCGCTCGCAGCTTTGCATATTCTATACGAACTATACAGGTACCTTGAGGTGAAATCACTGTAATCGATCAAATAATAAATAATATGGTTTCTCGAAACACCTACATCATATTAAATATCAAGAGCATGTTTAAGGGAGAGGGAGGATTCTATAGGAATTTTCATCGTGCACGGAGAAAATTTGGTCCTCGTTCTATTATTTCACAATTATTTACAAAAATGTTTGGAATTCTTTTACCACTGATCTGATTCGGTGTCTTGTTTTATTGACAAAATGTTGTAAACGCACTGCTCTAGAAGAAGTGTGTCTCTCCAACTACTAGAGTCTCTAAACACACCTATAATTATGTTTTGCTGTAGATTATAGACAAGAAGAGGTCGAATTAATGAAAAAGTTTAAGAAAAAATCACGTGGAGCGTAATGTATCTTGTTTGTAAAAACCATGCTTGATAAATTGAAATTTGAGACTCTTGTTAATCACTAATAAATTATATTAATATAGAATGTTAAACGATTTAACATTTATAGATCCATAACGAGTTCGATCGTCGACAATTGTCTCACGTACACGGAAAAAATGTACATATCGTCTAGTCTACTGCGTTATGGCGCACTTTTTTATACTGTTATAACTTTACATTTGTACAGCGATTACTTCCTACACAAATTAATTACCGCAAAACGTATTGGTCACTTAGCCGGTGATTTTAGGACATTAAAATTAAGTTAAAAATAATAATAAAAATCCGCACGTTAGCTGTACATTTCAATATTACTGTCTTTACTCGCGATGTTATTTTTGAACATTCGAGTAGATATGAAGGAAAAAAAAAGTACAATATTTTGTGATAATTATTTAAGGAACTTGTGTTCTATGAGCCTTATCTTTTGTTACTTGTGTGTTATCAATTTATTGAATTTTGAAATCATGAGGATAAGACTTCTGTTTTAAGATATTTTAAGATTTTTGAGTATGCACACAAAAGTAGTGGAGGTGTCGTATTTTATTAAGTATATAAACATAATAAATTGATAAAATATTAGATTTGATTCGATGTGGAAGACCGACTCGAAAATAATATCTGCCATACATACCCGAATACTTACGATTATCACCGTCCATCACACATTGAACCGATTATATTTTGTGGCGATGAAAAACAAATTCATATGAACTTAGTTAACTGTTGTCCATGTAAAAACTATAAATTAATTTTCTGTTTTTATAAATCGTTTGGATCATAAATGATATTTAATATTTATATTTATAAATTTACCTATGTATGGATTTGTTTTTTTTTCATCGTCCTCAGAGGACTGATTCAGAATTCTTAAGAATGTTTAATTTTGACAGCTTTAATCAAAGATAAAAAAACAAACAAAATACCTTTTATACTATACATTATTATTTTATTTTATCATCAATATTAGAAAACGAAATTTTTATTCAAACAACTTGAAATAGCAAATTATACAATAAATTAATACAATTGCATGTTTAGTGAAATTGTTTAATTAATATTTGATAATTTAGATAATAATTAGTTAATAATTGATAAATTAATAAATTAATAAATACATTTTATTTACTATACTTTTATATTGTTCGATATAGTTTGAATAATTATAATTGATAAATTAAATTGAAATGTTTAACTAAAAAATATTAAAAATAATATTAATTAGTCAATTTAAAATTGGGGTTGAATTTTAGTTAGATATATTAATATTTAAATTTAAGTTTTTTGGATTAGAACAATATTAGGCTTTGTTTTGCAGCGATAATATTATCGCTCCAATACGGTCACTCTCGTTTTAAGGAACGAATTCAGTATTAACCACCATCGCTTCGGTGTGCATCGGCCTCAATAAAAATGTAAAAAATTATTTTAGTACATTTTATGACCACATTCTTATATCATATCACGTATTCTATTCAACTTAAGTGAGTAATATTTTTGAATTATCTTCATGGAACTGTGTGTTGAGTATAATAAATGTGTATAGTAATCATATTTTCAAGTACTAAACAAACAAAAAATATACTGTAAAATATTCATGAACACTCAATATTAGATAAACAAATAAGTCCAAAATGTACCATCAATTTGTAATTTTTAGTAAAACGATTATGCTTTTTTCGGTATGTATATTTTGTTTTTCAAATACTGAGAAGTATTTTGCTTAACATGGAAAACTGAGAAACATTGCAGTTAAATTGAAAAACATGTCCCATAATTATTTATAATTGATTGGTATTGAAATAAAATGTTTATACGTATCACATTAAAACAACTACTTGTTTAAACAAACGGAAATCGTTGTAAAATAATCTCGCAATTACTACGAAGAGCGCACATTGTTAAATGCCATTTTTTTGAGACTAATTTTTGATTAAAGTAAATTATATATAAGAAAAATAATATATAAAAGTATATTTTATTTTAAAATTTCAAAATCATACCAAAACTATGGGCATACATGGGCAAACTATAAAACGTGTAACCGTCACAATCAGGAAACTCCAAGTATGTGCAATACACATTTGCATATTGCAGTACTAGGGATGTAGAAAGCAGGGACTAATGTAAATTTTCATATTTCTCCAAAAATCTATTTTTTTATACCATTTCGGATGCAATAAATTAATTATTTTAATTACAGATAAAGTAATCATAAAGTAATAATAATTCATATTACGAATACTAAAAATACGTACCGCGGTGCGTATGTTTTGAAACATAACTTTGCGGATGAAAATGTGTGTCGTTCTGTCACAACAACCTGATGATAATTAGAGATATTTTTTATACATACTTTTTAATACCCCACGTACAAAAACTTAAAAAGTCTAAACACAATAACTGTTTTTATTTATTTTTAGAAATTATGGCCTATACGCCAATTTTATTTTCAACGCAAATAGATTACTTGGATTTTGTCCATGTAACTTTGTCCAGGTTACATATTTTTTAAATAGTTCAAGAGTTATCTATACAGTTAGTAACATCGGATTAATGTTGTAGACATTGGGAACACATAGTTTTTTTAAAAATAACATTCGATAGCAATTCATATTATACTTTTAATCGATAAGTAATAATTATTTAAATAGATTTTTCGTATTTGAAAATTAAGTACCGCATTATGCTAGTTATACATAATCGATAATTTTTTAAGAAAGATTCCGAGTACATACACAATTTTGTGTTGCAAGCGCATGACGTTCGTGTTTCAGTAATTCGGATATAGTTCTGAATTATAATAACCCGATTGCAGTTTTCTTCTATTTAAACTACTTCTTTGGCGACCTGAAAAACGTAATTTATACACAATAAATATCGTAAAAAACTCACTAAAATATATATAACAAAAGGAAAAAGACAAACGGAAAGATTGCACATTGTACGTGGATTCGTATGCTGCTAGGACTATAGGACCCTGGTAAATATCTCCTCGAAAGCGATACTATGCAAAAAATATATAAATTAATTTTGTAAATTTTATTTATTCGTTGATTTTAATGAAATTCTACGTGCGCAGTATAAAGTATAACTTTGAAAATATTTTTCTTTTTGTTGAGTATAAGCTAATATGCATATCATTATAACACTGACAGTATTAATGCGCTACATTGCCTACAAATGTAATTTTATTCTAAATTAAATAATAATGATCGATTGATATTGAAATAAATAATAACACCTAATAATTATGAAACATATTATTACGAAAGTATAGAATACATTTTGATATTTAAAATTTATAAATTAGTTTGATAATAAATTAATTTATTCGTTTTTATATTCTGGTTTCTAAGGCTAACTGATACGTCACTTTTGTCTACGGAAAGTATGAAATTTTATCTCTTTTTTACATTCTCGACTACTTACAGTAATATAAATTTCCACAAGTAAACAAAATATTATATACTTTGTCTAGTGCGGGAGTTGAAATAGGAACGATTTGATAGTTGAAAAGTAGACCAAAAGCGAGCAACATGCGCACCAAGCGCATAAGATCCTGGTAGCCATTTCTATGAACATGTCACAACAATACTGAAACGTTACAACAATGCACGTTACACAATATATAATATATAAATAAAAAAATAAAATATATGTCATATGTAAGTTAAACATGTACGAGTATCATACGAGTACGTACCATATTTGAAAATATATGTATAATTTAAATTTATTGATAAAATGAAATATTAGTCAATTAAAAATCTAAAATAAATAATAATAACATTTTACATACAACTTGAATATTTTTTCACGGTTGGCATACAACAAAACCAACTTGCGATAAAATAAGCTGCTGCACCATTTTAATTCATTTTTAATGTACATCAAAATTAAGAAAATTCGATTCATCGATTCGGTAATTTTGGGAGCCACGACTTCACATAACCACTCGAAAGAATCAAATCGAAGCTAATCAACAACACAATTCTACAACGTAAATTCGTAAACCATTTATTTGTATTACAGATATTTATTTCATCTTAAATTACCTATTAAAGTTTTAAGGAAAATAATTATTTTCGACCAGCGAAAAATACATACGATAACAACGTGTATAATTGTGCCATCCGTTACAAACGATTAGTAAAAGTGAATCATTTTTTTTTTATTACAGAAAGGAACAAAAGTCGAAGTCATACTCCGTGAACGTGCCACTGGAAAATGTGTCGCTCAACGCTAACGGATCCCCGCCGTATGATCCGCACGCGCACAGGATACTTGAACACCCCACAACGTAAGTACCTATATAATAACGCAAAAGTATCTGATCAAGTCGCGATCACACCAAAACTGGTATGAGCAAATCGATCGAGTTTTATAAAAATATCACCAACTACTTAAAAATAACGTACCTAATAACAGGGAACGGATATTAAAACCAATACTGATTCGATCCTATTTTATAAATACACGTTTAAGTGGGCATACTTTTACAACGTATTACATTTTAAATAATACGTTTAAAGAGCTTATTCAGATCGTAAATGTCGTATGATGACTAATACGATTTTTTGTTTCCGACAACTCGACAACTGTTTTAGTTTAAAATCACGTCTGTGCACGCTGATAGATGTTCATTTAAAAATATTTAATCGGTGATACACGAATGCGGACGGTTCTTATCGGGACGACCTTTTTAATCGAAATTATAATTTATCAACGGACTCCCGAATATTACACTATTTTGGACATATGTTGCTAATTTTATAAATAAAACTTCGATAATCTGGGAATGTGGAAATTCTGAGCGTATTAAGTTTAGTATGCAGTTACAAGTAATTTTTGTTAAATACTGCAGTTAGAAGAAATTGAATTAAAAAAAGTATAAAACAAACTCAAAGCGAAACTGAGACAATAATTTAATTCATAAACAAAGGTCGAGAAAAATCGGTGACAAAAAAAAATTTAGATAGAATCAAAATCAACATAACTATTCACAGCTATAATGATTATAAAAATCACCAAAACGTGATACAATATTTAAAAAAAAATTAGTTGTCATTACGGAGGGAAAAAATATAAATTTTTAACTTTAAGTGTTTATATTATATATTATTATATTAATAAACTGCTTCGCACAATTTGGCAAGGTTTCATTAAATTTCGACTGCAATCGTGTCATTTTTTGGATGCAAAATAATACTTTTTGTTTTATAATGATCGTCCGCAATCAGGTTGCAAAAAAGGTAAAACATCCGCAGTCGTGTTTTACCCTATTTAATTAGATTACATTATTTACGAGTATTTTATACATTTTAATAGACTAGATATAATGCTCCTTGTTTTCCCCTCAATTTTACTGATTATATAAAGACAGTATTTGTTTATTTGCCTGCATTAATCTCAAAAACTACTAGGCCAATTTTGATGAAATTTGGTACAAGGGTAGATTAGACCTTTGAAAGGGACATAAACTACCTTTTGTCATGAAAAAATGAAAGGGAAATATGGGTATACCTGAAAAGGTCCGAAAGAGTAGTTTTGTTTTTGTTAAAATCGTAAAAATGGAAAGGAACCTCACTGTCACATGCCTTACACCTTAATGTATACCTAGAAAATGGCGAACGCGTCTAAAAATAATTTCCAAGAGCGACACTCACCGCTTCTTTTGATTCATGGTTCTCACATGTACAGCTGTAGGTGGCATGCTCACGCGTCGAAAAACCTGATTTATTTGTGTATGCACTAGAAGGAAAAGCAAAAATTATTGTGTATTCAAATGCACTTCAATAAATAGCAATTAATCGAAAACTTGAATTGTCTGAATTTTCTCGATAAAATTAATAAAAATAAATAATAATTCAAAATAAATTGAATATTGTTCAAAACTGTCAACTTTTCTGCGGTTTTGAACTGTCCTTTAATCTTTCGACATGTTAGAAATATTTTTTTATCATTTCCCTATCAATTTAAAAATAGCATAGGTTTTTTAGTTGGTGTGACTAGATAATTTTTACAAATGTTAACGTAATTAGTTTGTTGTGTTGATGATATATCTATTTATTCACATAATTAAGTAAAATATATAAAAAACAGAAATTTGTTAAAAATTGTATTCATAGAATAACCTACTAAAAGTACCAACTAAAGATTTATTGGGTGTTGATCGAAGCACTCTTTTTGGTCGAAATTGTGTACAGTCATGCAGCACAAAAAGAAAACTCTAAGTATTATATTGACACTTATTAAACCGTTTTGGTGAGTTATGTTTGCCCGATTTCAGATATGTTTTCCTAAAAAAACAAAAATTGCATGGATCCGTTAATATTTTTTTTTTGTAATATATAAAACAATAAACGATAAGCGGACGTACTCTACTATATAGGATACCTATTACTTTTACAATGTTTTACATTATAGTTTTATGTGATCCTATTGCCATCGGAAGTAGAACCGATAAGCTACATGCTTGCGCATACACATGTATCTTTTTAACTAATTTATCGTTTGACTGCCGTTTACAGAAATTCAGAGACGCTCATCCACTTGCTTAAAGGTAGTTTGGGGACCGGAATTCTGGCCATGCCCAACGCCTTTTACAACTCGGGTCTGCTCATCGGCACTGTGGGCACCTTACTCATTGGATTTTTGTGCACGTACTGCTTACATGTTTTGGTAAGTGTCGCTTGGGTCACGTTTTATTAATTACAATTATTTAACCATCGTATACATGGCATAATAGTAAACAAAGTTGCTTAACAATACGTTAATACATAAATCAAATTGTTCCGAATGTATTGGCGGCGAACGACAAACAAAACCAGTAGGTACTGCGTCAAATAAAACAAAAAAGGTTTAACATTTTTTTTTTTTTTTTCAAATTCAATATTCTCGCCCATCTTTACTAATATGGACATACAGTCAAACATGTGTTAAAAATACACGTAGTTTTATCACTTTGCAACATAATGACTATGACGTATATGAGTAAAAGGTCCGAAGAGACTTCGCCCCCTAATGTTCATATTTTTGTTCCTTATCCATAAATATTATATTATAACTGATTATTGTATTATTGTAATATTGTATTATTAAAAAACGGTTTCATCATTATTTTGTTTTCAACATTTAATTCCAGTGCCGTACAACTAGACTTAGCTCTAATAATGTTAAACGGTACATGACCTTTTTATTTTTTTAAATTGCTATTTGTATATTATATTTCAAGTGGATAACCCCCTTTCAAATAAAAAACCATACCTACGTTATTGCGTAATGTAAAGCACTAATATAATAATTAAGTGATTTACGAGTGTTTATATTGAGTTCTAACTGTTTCATTTGTCTAACAGTTTTAAACGAGATGATTTTAAATGGAATTATGATTTAATTATAAACGTTTTTGACGTAACAAATGTAAAACTACATGTAATTAGTAGAAAATAAAATGAAATAAAGTATTTTTATATGACAAATATAGCAAGTCAAATAGCGTTGTTTTTACCGTCTCTGGATTATTTTATACTTCACCGGTATAATACACGTATAATTATTTTGTACCTTATACGTGTACAATACTGGTAGTACACGTGTGAGTTTCTATTAATAATTATTTCTTTTACTATTCGTAGGTGAGGTCTCAGTACAAACTATGCAAAAAGCTACGAGTGCCCATCCTCAGCTATCCGGATTCAATGAAATACGCTTTAAAAGATGGACCAACCTTTTTAAGATTCGGAGTTCCTCTTTCTGCGTTGGTGACTTTATTTCAACTCTTAATAGCTCATTCTATGCAACCGAACCGCTATTTAATGAACTTGACGATATTTTGAAAAAAAAAATCGTTATACAAAAATGTCATTCCAAAGAAATACAAATTTATTAAATAAAAGTTCGACTGTATGTATGACAACTACCACCGCATATCACTTATCTATTGACAGATTGTAAATTATAAGATATCGTTTATCACATCATCAATGCCACAGCGACACAGTGTTCGCGCGTTTCAAAATGATCTTCGAACCGTTGTCACGCGTAATTTTTCCCATACACCTTCCGTAGATCGGTCATACTGAACCAACGAGTCCCGATTGTTTTTCTTTCGAGCTTCCCTGAAAAACAAAAACCGAACACGCTACGCAAAAAAATTAATTTAATGATATAAACCATACAAAGTTATAATAATTAAAAGAATCTTAAAACAATTTTACTGTCGAGAATTGTCGAAGTACAAATTGTTTGCAATTTTCAGTCCACGCCACCTCTCTAGTAGGGTCTCACGACTCCGGTGACCACTGCCACTGGGCGATAATTTTTCGTGATGAAATCATTATTATTATAACCGTCATCGTCATAGCGAACACTTGTCGCGGCCGTTCTATCCGGCTCGTCAGCCGTATGCCGTACACGGGGCCGTAATGTGTTCTTTTGACACGCGCAACGACAATAATCATGTCAATTGGTTCTGCAGAATGGAGGCGCTGATGTAAACGACACACTTCCCATATTGTGTTAGCACGATACACGCGTTTTATTATCATTGTTACGACCTTGGCCGACCGTTAAACCTACCGCGCGCGGTTATTCGTTAACCGACGTGGCGTACATGTCGTCACGGGCTTGAAAAAAACGAAAAAAATGTCTAAAAGACAAAAAAAAAAAAAAACATAAAAAACACCGATTTCACCGACTCTTATCGTCGATTTTCCAGGTTAATCGTCGACGGGTTCCTGATCGTCTACCAGCTGGGCATATGCTGCGTGTACATTATGTTCATCGGATCCAACATCAAAGAGGTTCGTGACAATCATAGTTTGTATGCGATACTTTGATTACGCCGCTCGGTCGAGATCGACCATCGCGTCTGACGGGATTTCGTAGACGTAAATAAATTGCAGACGTTTAAAAAAAATATCGCGGAGAACCGTTACGAACAACTTGAAAAGTGGTTTAAAACATAATAGTTGGTGGCACCCGTACGGTTAAAATCGCCGTACTATCGTAATGTATAGGTTCGATTGAAGTTGAAATTATCATGTGGATACCGCTATTAAATATTAACCAGGGACGTGTCCAATGGGACTTTGCAGGTTCCGGATCTACCCGTAATATCCCTTCGATATAATATACATAAAGACTTTTTTGTTTTTCTAATATAAAGCATAAATTCAGATCAAAAAGTTTTCAGAAATCATAGTCTTAACTCGATAATAGCGTAATTTCATTGCAAAAACAAATATTTTATATTTTTAACTTTTTTTTTTTTAAGAAAAATTCCTATTAAAATAATCATTGGTATAAGCATGAAAATGTTCATTGTGCATTAGTCAATTGCATTAGTTATATAGTTATGTCTACTTACAAAAGATAATATTACTGCGACGTATAAAAAGCAAAATAAGTACATATCTACATCGAATTTTTCCCCATAAAATATTGATCTTTTTTTTAATTTTAATGGTGTCACGTGCGAATCCGAATAATAAATAACTACGGACTTGTACATGCTCAAGTATAGTTCCGAGTATTTTGGAACAAAGACTTTACTCATTATTACGGAACAGCTTTATTCCCCGAGACGATTCTCTGTACCGTGCGTTTGATCGTTATAAACCTTAATTGGTATAAATATACGTGGGCTTATATTTCGCGGTTCAAATGCAACAAAATGTATACTTTAAAATGTCTTTTGCGCATCAAGTTTTTAAAATTATAACAAGAGTTATTCATATTATTGTTTATATTTATTTTTATTATTTATTGTTACAACTTTCTATGTTGAATGATCTTGAATTTTCGTTTTTGGCTTGATCTTTTATCATATTTAGGATTGGCTAAGCAGTATGGGATTTTAAAGTTGGGTAGACAGTTTAAAATCCCGATAAAAGTGTTTCTGGTGATCACGTAAAAATTTTTATCATGACGAAAACACCTGAAGGCAAGAGGAAGTAACGTGTTTACCGCCAAAATAAATCACAAATATATAAATAATCCCTTATTGCCAACCGACGATCACTGCACCAACCGGGTCTTCTGATTTCCATAATTTCTACGGGAGGGCATCCACATATAACGATCGAATCCTTAAGTATAATTTATTACATGTTTGTGTAACGCTATAGGTGCTCGACATTTACATCACACCGATGGACCAGAGATATTACATGATAATGATACTCCTCCCGTTGGTGGCCATCAATTTGATCAGAAATCTAAAGCTGTTGGCACCCTTCTCGCAGGTGGCTAACATCGTTACGTTTGCCGGACTCGCTATCGTCCTGTGGTACGTATTCACAGATCTGCCGCCCATATCTTCGAGACCATTAGTTGGCGAACCGAGGAAATACACACTTTTCGTGGGCACAACCCTGTTCGCTTTGGAAGCAGTTGGAGTGGTAAGTCATACAACACGATCATGTAGCCCCAGAAAGCGTTCCTTTTCGTCGTTATCATCGATCCAAGACATTTTTTAAATATGTTAATTGATTTTCTTTAAAAATAATCAAATTAAGATTATAGCGTCTTTAATATCATACTGGAAGTATAATATATATGCCCTAGAATCGTACTTTATTGCAAGTCCAATAAACCAATAAATACCGATAACGACGAGCGAGATACGCGTTAAACGAATCATATTAATATACATTTAGTATTTAACGATTAATATTTTTTGATAAACGCGAATTTTTGGAATTTTTCTATTATTTTTCTATAGTATAAATGAGGAACTATAAGAACTCAGAGAGGGTCACGGGGATTTAACACCGGTTACCGGTTAGTGATTACATTTTACTATGGATCCTGATGGTACCATAATTTTATAAATTCAGAAATAGTAAAATTGACATTTTGATCATTATTTTTTGTATACATAGATAAAAATCGTATTAGAAATCATAGAAAAGTAAAATCATGTACGTTTGGTATGCAATGTTCTATAAAAAGCGATAACGGTTATATAATTTGTTTATTCGTGAAAAGGTGACATAGATTTCAACCGATACATGCTTTATAGGCTAATTAGTTAGTCATTATTTTTTTTATTTTATTTTTTTAATTTATTTTTTTAACTCGTACGCGTGCAATATTTGTCGACATTCACCCCACACTTGTTTATCATCACTGGTAGCTTGCGTGCATGTTGAGAACAAAAATAACCAATCATAACAATATGCGTAAGATTTGTGTCGGACGTTCCTCAGGTGTTGGCGTTGGAGAACAACATGAAGACTCCTGCGTCCTTCGGTGGCTCCACCGGAGTGCTAAACACCGGCATGGTTGCCATCACCATCATGTATGTAGCAATGGGCTTCTTCGGATACGTCAAGTACGGCGAGTCGGCAAAAGGCAGCGTGACGCTCAACTTGCCGCAAGGTGACATGTGAGTTGGAATATATTACATTATGTGCATTCATTGGCTGTTTTGAAAAATAACAATTTTTTTTTTTAAATACAAGTACGAAGTTTTTCAAATCTATTAAAAATATTATTACTCTCGTGTACATAGATCGTGTGAATAGAGTGGCAAAAGTTCGATTTTTCCCTTTTCGATTACCAAACCGGAACAAGGTATGATTTCGAAACGTTCTCGACAAAATTATACCGCACGCGCATATTCTCTGAGTATCATAGACCATTCCATAAATGATTTAAAAGATATTGCTATAGGCACTATATGTTTATATAAACGTACACGGTGGGTCATCAGTATTTTTCCATTTATGCGGAACGGTGGACAACTTTGTGAGTATAAAGTGCAAAGTGTCGTAGGGAGAACTATTATTTTCCTACGTGAAAACCGTCACATCTCAAGTAATCGCATTTCGAGCAGTATTCATTTCCAAAGGTGTGTACCCACGCTTAGAGCGTTAAACACTCATTAGCGACAAAAATTACAATATTGATGTTTGTGTTGAAGCAACAAATGTTGACTTTATTATCTTGATATCGATTAAAATTTGAAAAAAAAAACCGTTCACTAACCACCCTAATAAATAATTATCTCTCCTCCCCCACGAGACATATCCGCGAGAACAGATAATTCCGCTGGTTCCATGTAATATTGTTTTACTATTTTATCATATACTGTTCTGTTGCTAGTGCACGTCCGTGATTCTTGTTTTTTTATTCCACAGCCTCGCGCAATCGGTTAAGATCATCTTCGCGTTCGCCATATTCATCACGTACGCACTACAAGCATACGTGCCTGTGGAAATCATTTGGAACACGTACATGAAGGAGCGGCTTCAGAACTGGAACAAGACAACCATGGAGTATTTGCTTCGGATATCCGTTGTAATCGTCACCTGTAAGTGTATTGCGTTACTTCATAGTAATGGTTTCGCGCGAAACTCTCAATTCCCCAACCTCGAACGTGCGTGAAACCACCAACTCCTTTAAAGTCAATTAGGACCGAGAGGTCAATTTCGAAAATTCCGCGTCTTAATGATTCTGTGATTTTGTCGTGATATCCTTATCGTATTGCATGTTATATTTATGTTTCACACACGTATTTACTAGTGAAAATCTTAATTTGACCATGGTTTTTTTTCTTTTTTTCCAAATTACTCCTCGCAGAGTCGTTTTGAAACTTCGGCTCAAACGTCGCAATCCCTATGATTTGTAACAAGTTCGAATGAATAAATGACAAGTCATATAGTATGATCGAAACGAAAACGATCACATATCTTGTGTTTGGTAAAATATCTTGGCCACTGACACTCGTTATAAAAATGTTGCGTGGATTATGACATTGAAATTCGATTAAATTTAATACAATCTTATATTATACTGTTATTATGTCTATGATTATTTAATCATCATAATCGGTTTTAAGTTCGAAATCATTTTATAGTTGTGCACGTGCCATGAATAATCGTGTTAATAACGAATTCAAATTTATTTGGCGTCCATGTTGTTTAAAAAACAAATAACACAATAAATTGCGGTTCGACTGACAATAAGATCCAACGAATTAATTGTTCTTCATTATATATGTTAAGTGTAGATTTGTTACGACACGATTGCGATGATAACGGTCTCGTTTAATCTTTGTTGAAATCATTTTTCTGTACAACATTCCGTGATATGTACAATACCTCGGCATTTCTTCTAACAGCGCACAAAATATCGAAGCAGGATTCGACTTATTGATCGTTTTTAATTCCGTCGCATGAACGTCCGTTTTGAAGTAATATAATAAAGAAACACGGCGCTAATAATTTGTATTCGCTATTGGTCAGTACCGATCGTCAACGCGAAAGTTTTACACGGTCCGTTTTTAAACAATGCAAAGTTATAGACGTTTCCAGGAACATCGTTTAGAAGTATTCAAACCCGACGTGATCGCTGCCAACCAACGGTCTTAACTAACGTCAAATACCATATTTACCACGGTTTTTTTTTTCCTATACAAGCACCTACCCTTACCAAACCTGAATTCGAACACACCAAATGCGAAATACCAAATAGTTACGTCATTGACACTCGAAGTTCGTCTACCCCTTGTAAAACACTTGAATCCCTCCGGATAGTCACGTTTCGTGTAGGAATTTTCAGGTTTTCAAATAATCGTGTGATATTTTCACACCCGCCGCCCACCCCTTCCCATCGGTTCCGTCGCGCGTCGACGCTTTTCGTTATTACCGGAACACGAGTCGACCGAACAATTTTTACCAGACACGGTTAACAGGACGCGGTCCGAACCCTGGACCCAAGATCTTGTGACGCGTCTAATCGTTATTGATTAGCTCGTGACGCCCTGCGCTGCCGAATTAACAGTTCGCGTAACGCATCGTTATTATTTTCGTGCGCAATCGTTAAACATGTCTTAGAATACGCACAGATACGTGGTTGAATATACGACACCGTTTATAGTCGTCGTTTCTATCGTAGAAAAATCGTTTTCCATCGAATCGAACGCAAACTATTGCACCGGTGGCTGCTGCGTCCACGCAGGCTCTGCCAGTTTTAACGATATGACAGCGTATCTGCATAATGTTCTAAGATGAACGCTGTTACGAATAATAATTATTATGAATATTTGTTTGATTTTAATTTTTGCTATTCGATGTGCATTGACGATTGACATTCTCGGTTCGCAGTCTTACTGGCCGTCTTCATACCGCGACTGGAGCTGTTCATATCGCTGTTCGGCGCGCTCTGTCTGTCCGTGCTGGGCATCGCGTTCCCCGCGATCATCGAGATCTGCGTGCTGTGGCCCGAACGCGAGTTCGGCCGTTTCAACTACGTGCTGTGGAAGGACGTGCTGCTGATCGTCATCGGCGTGCTCGCCTTGGTGCTGGGCACGTACATCAGCGTGGAGGACATCATCAGGTCCTTCTAACGCGAGAGAACGCCGCCAAGCCTGCCGTATACGCGCGGTGTTATAATATATACTATCGCGAAACAGCGTGTACACGATAATATATATATATATTAAAATTACCGAAACACAGTGCACAACGTGGCACTAACGAAAAAAACCCTGTCGATAATGATACGATTGTAATAATATTCGCTGCAGAACAAAAAAGAAAAACAGATGGAATCGAATTGATTTCATTTCGTTTACTGTATCACGAAGAAATGTATTATCACTCGTATCGCCACGACGGTTTATCATTTAAAATTATATTATTAATATTATTATTATTATTATTATTATTATTATTATTATTATTATTATTA